GCCCAGGTGTCTTCCCAGCTCAGGCAAACTAACACCCCTGTCCTGGCACTGCCTTAGGGCAGCATGGCAATGCCCAGCTGCCTCCTGCAGCAGGTGAGCCCTGCAGGTGCCCTCCCAAAGCCAGCGCTGCCCCTTGGCGCCTGGATGCTCACAGCAGCTCCTGCATCTTGCAGGCAGCTGGTGCTGGGCTCTGCTGCAGGCAGCAGAAGGGCAGAGGCAGGCAGGGCAGAGGCGGAGAACTCCAGCCCGTGGTCCCCATGGGAACTTGCGGTTGCTCCCTACGTGGGTCTGCTTGGCTGCCCGCCGCTTGCTCAGGGTCACCCCCTACCCAAGGAAATGCCACCTCTCCCCACAGTGCCTGTCCCCTTGCAGAGCCTTGGCGGGGAGCCAGACACGCCACCGGGCATGGGGGCCACCGGGAAGGACCACACCAGAAATGCTGGCAATGCCCCAAACTGTCTGTCCCTGTCTGCTGCTGCAACTCCCTGCACCAGGGTCAGGGACTGCCTGCCACTGCCACTGCCCTGCAGTTAAACTGTGTCACTTGGATCCTGCATTTGCCACAGGTGCTGGCTGTAGCGGAGCAGCCAGCGGTCACAGCCGCGCCGTGGTGGGTGCTGCTCCACATCTGCAGGGATGTGGGTGCACGCAGCCGGCGCCCGCAGCCAGCCTGCGCTGCCTGCCCTCCTCCTGCCCTGCCCGTGTGGAAAAGCCACAATGGCAGCAGGTCCCCGGGGAGCTGGGCCGTGATGACTCTGCAGTTCAGCTGCGGAGCTGCTATATTGCTTCCTGTGGTTCATTGTCACCCCATGTTGCAGGCGCTGCCTGCAGGACAGTCCCTCCCACGGAGACAGCACGTCCAGGCAGCATTTGCAAACCAGCTGCCATGGGGCTGGGCTCAGGCTCGGCAGGGGGGGTGGGCAGTGTCAGGCACCACAGATGCCATCGAGCATCTGGCAAATGGATTCCCTGCCTGGATCCGAGCAGGAGGTGCCTGTGGTGGGGCAGGGGGGACGTGCCTGCATGGGGTGACCGCTGCTGGATGGCCTCTCTCGCCCAGCGATGACGCACATCCCAGGAGGCAGCGGGGAGAAAAACAATTTTGTGCAGGCAGCACTTAACCAAACGCTCATCTTGTGCATGGCGAGCGGCAATTGCCAGCTGTGAGCTCGAGCTGCCCCTGCCACACAGGGTTGGTGGCATGTATGGTGCCCCCAGGGCTGACCACCCAGGAGCACCCGAGTTAAACAGGGGCTAAAAACCCCCTCGAGTGAGGAGGAGGATGGAGGGGAGCACAATCTCCGCTGCAGGCAGGAGCAGGGAGGTGAGGCAGCAGGTGAGCTGCCCGCGCACAGCAGGCACACCATCGCCGCAAGCTGCCCGTGTGCTCCTGCCGCGCCACAGGCACACCATCGCCGCAAGCTGCCCGTGTGCTCCTGCCGCGCCACAGGCGCAGTGCTGGCCGTTCTGCTGCTCATGCCCAGAGATGCAATCTCTGAGATGCAGCATCTGGGCACCCCCGACCCCTCGGCTCCCGGCAGGGGGGCCCATGCCCCCCTGCCCTGGCCCTGCCAGCGCTGCCCATCCCTCACTGCCACCCAGCAGAGCCCAGGCTCCAGCACAGCCCAGGCTCTGGTGCTGCGGCAGCAGTGCCGGCGCTGCCTCCCTTTGTCTGCAGCTCTCAGGGCTGGGCAGCCTGGGCAGCCCTGGGAGAAGGTGGGAGGAGAAAGTCTCCCTGCAAGCCCAGGAACGACTGAAAATCTGATGATTTCTGGGCTCCTCCTGGCTCCCCGAGGCAGGATGTACTCGCACACAAAACAGGCGGTGAGACAATGAGGGAGAGAAAATGGCTCCCCAAAAGGAGCCCGAGTAGCATCTGTCAGTTTAACTCTTTGCAGGGGAAGGGGTGTGCTGAAGCGCCCTGGAGGGGTGCTGACCCCAGCCTCTCCTCTAATCCCCTACCTAAAATCACCAGGTTTAGGAGAAAATGGTGGTTTCAAGACAAAGAAGTAAACCAGCATTTTGGCTAGATTGCCTTCCAGGAGCATTGAAAATCAGGCAAGAATCCATTTACCTGTCTCGAGCCCTATTCTTGATGAGGTTTCTGAAAAAAAAATACAAACAAGTGGTGCATCAGTTAATATTAATTTTGGTACAGGGGCTGCAGACGGTGCCCAGCGGGAGCCAGGCTGCCCAGGTGCCGCTGGCCAGACCGGGCATCGCCTGCCAGGCCGGGTGCGTGGCCGGGAGCACGCTGCGGATGCGCTGCTGCTCCTGCCCCTAACAAAGGCAGGGGGGCCCAGGCCGCCCCCGGCCTGGAACCCCTTGGGAGGAGTTGGTGGCTCCTGCCATGGCGCATGGGTTCGCGTGGGAATTATTTATAGCGGGGGAATAAGAATATATTGGGGGGTCGGGGGGGCATTATTTTTTTGGAGACCGAGCGGCCGGAGCAGCCATGCCGGGCGGCCCCGCAGCCTCCCGGGAGCGATGCCCGCAGGACCAGCCGTGTCCCGGGGCGGCATCTCTGCCCGTCCCGGCCGTCCCTCAGGCCCCGAGGCTGGGGGGGCTCCTCCTGGCGCCCCCGCGCCCCCAGACCCCACCAGCGCCCGGAGAGGAGCCACATTCCCAGCCGGGAAAGAGCAGAGAGAAACGTTAAGGGTGGCTTTACCTGCTTTCCAGGGGAGGGTGGGCTCGGGGACCGCCGGGCTCCGCACGCTCCTGGCCGCCGTGCAGCTTCTTTGTGCTGGAGCTTTCCAGAGAGCATCCCTGAGCAAGATATTGCCATGCAAACTCCTCCTCCCCGCAGCCCCCGCCGGGCCCGCCCGGCCCTACCTACGGCTCAGGAGGATGCTGCAACTGCCATTAAATTTTAATGCTGGAAACGCGGCCGAGTCACCTTCCCTCCCCCCTTCCCTGCATCCCGCCTGCCCGCCGCCCCTCACCGCACCCTGCTGCGGCAGCCCCCGGGGACGCCCACCCCTCTGCAGCCCCCGCCGCCGAGGCCACCGTCCCCGTCCCCACCTCCCCGCCAGGACACCGTGGTGGCACGGGCTCCCCACAGCCATTTGGGGTGCGTGGGCACCCCGTACCCATGGGGATGGCACAGGGGATGTGGGGTCAGGGACACGGGGCAGGGGATGCTGGGCAGGCAGCGCTTGTGGGGAAACCACTCGGGGACATGGTGCACAGGATCCGGCCGTGCTGGGTGGGATGGCAGAAAGACCAGCTCAGCCTGGGGGGGACATGTCCGTGGCCACTGTGCCAGCGCACAGGGGGACCGGGAGCACTGCCGCCCTGCCCGGCCATGCCCAGCAGGGCAGACCCCCAGCCCAGGGGCCGGCGGGCTGCTGGGGGGGCCCTCTGCAGCGTTTTGCAGCTGCTGGGCTCTTGCATTGTTCTCCAGGTCCTGGATGGGTCCCCGGGGAGCCCACTGGTCCCAGTGCCAGCTGCCCACCATGCCTGGCTGTGTGCTGGCCCCACTCCTGGCCCCCTGTGTCCCCCCGGGGTTCTGGGGCTGGGCAGGGGCAGGGTGGGCTGGCCAGGACGGGGGTCCCTGCCAGATGCGGCCATGGTGGGGCCGGGAAGTTCTGATCCTCCAGGTCTCGCTGACTGGTGGCCCCAGATGGGTTTGCCCTGGGGCAGCAGGAGGGTTTCACTCAGCCCATCCCAAAACTTTTTGTTTCTACTTCTGTTCTGCATTTTTAATTATGATTTCCTGAGGAGAGAATCCCTTCCTGGAGAGCACTGTCTCTGACGGTGGTCCTTCTGCTGCAAATGTCAGGGATGGGACATTTTCATCACGTCAAACCTTTTCTCCAGAGCTCTTCTGAAATGAGAAATCTTTCCAAACCAGTCTTTCCCTGTCACATTTTCAGCTTCAGCTAACCGCCGCTTTCTCATGAGCTGAGGAAGATGGTTTATCAGCAGCCCCCGATGGCTTCTCTCTGCCCCAGGTTTCCTGCAGCGACAGCCCAGGGCCAGGCAGGCAGGAGCAGGCCCTGCCTGTTCCCACTGCACTGCTGGGGCAAACGTGGAGCTGCAAGCCCGCGGTGTCACCTTGCTGCTCCAGGGCCAGCGGAAGGCTTGGCCTGGTCCTCTGCACCGCTGCGGGCAGAGGGGCTTGCCTGCCTCTGCCCTGGGCTGCCCGCTCTGCTCTGGGCATGGGAGGTGCTGCGAGGCTGGCAGGTGCTGCAAGCCAGCGTGGGTGCAGGGATGTCTGTGTGGGTACAGGCGTGTGCAGGGGTGTGCATGAGTGCAGAGATGGGTGCAGGGGTGTGCACGGGTGTGGGGACGGGCGCACAGCGTGCAGCTGCAGCTTGCTGGATCCTGCAGCTCCTTCCAGCTCCCGAGCAAGGCTGAGGCTCAGCAATGGCTGCACTGTGTCCTCCTCAGCCTTGCTGGAGCTGCAGCGCAGTCCCTGGCAGGTGCTGGCAGAGCGGATGGAGTCTGCAGGGCGGCGGGGATGTGTGGTTGCTGCAAAGCCCCTGAGCCAGCAGCTGGGCTGGCGCAGGGACAGGACAGACACGGTCCTCGCTGGCAGGATGCGCAGCGCTGTGCAAGGGCTGCACTGCTGCTCCCGCTGGCTCAGTGCCCAGCTCCTCACCCCTGTGCTGGGCCTGACCACTGTGCCCTGGCCCTTGGCCCCGCAGCTCCTCAGGGGGCTGGCAGCGGGGCTGAGGGCAGGCCATCGCGCCGCATTGCAGGTCCGTATGTGAGCCGAGCAGGGGCTTCGCCTGCCTGTGACGGGGACATGTGGATGCCTGTGCTGGCTGCAGGGGCAGAAGAGGACGGTCGTTCGCCCCCACCCCATCCTTGCCCCTGCAGAGCCCCCGTGCCAGGCACGGCATCGCTCCAGGCACAGCCCCATGGCACCCCCTCCCCAACTGCCAGCGTGCCGCCTTGGACAACTGAGCCTTTATTGAGCTTTGCCCCCACCGCCCCACGGGAGAGACAGTGCCCAGGGTGCATGGCCGGCGGCATGGTGGCTCCGGCACTGGCGGTCACTGCTGGACCCTGCGGATGGACTGGACCTGGCCCGTCTGCGCGTGGGAGCCCCACTCCCGCACGTGCTTGTACTCGCCCGCGTGGCTGTCGCTCTCCAGGAGGTACTGGAAGCCCCGGTACCCCGGGTACTGCGAGCAGACCCACCTGCGACAGAGCAGAGAGCGGCGGCAGCTCAGGGCTGGCAGCACCATGAAGCACCCTGCGCTGCGGGCACTGGGCAGCAGGCAGGGTGCCGGCAGCTGCCAGAGCATCCTCAGCTCTGGTGCGTGCCCCTGGTGCCGGGTCCTGGCAGGGTGCAAGTCCCCGGGGTACTCACGCGCCGGAGCGGACAAGGAAGGAGCCCACGGCGCTGCTGCCCCAGCCCAGGGCGGGCAGCGAGGGGCAGTCGTCGCTGAGCTCCCCCCGCCTGCCCTGGAAGTTCTCCTGCTCGAAGAGCATCAGCCTGCTGCGCCCGTGGTCCTGCCACCAAGAGGGGCACGGCATCGGCATGGCTGCCCTGCCCGGCCCTCTGGCCGATGGCTGGCGGTGGGCTCCAGGGACCAGCCCGGTGGTGGGCTCCGGGGGCCAGCCCCACAGCGGGGAGCCGGGGTGGGGGCACTCACAGCACAGGCAATGGGGCGGAAGGAGCACATCCTCTCCACGTGGTAGGCATTGCTGCCGCTCCACGCCTCCCAGCATGGGTACTCGCCGCGCTCCAGCACAAACTGCTGCCCCTGGAAGCCGCAGTGCTCGAAGCCTGCCCACCTGCCGGGGGCGGGAGGGAGGGGTGAAACCCCCGCAGCACCCACCACCCCACTCACAGCCAGGGCAGAGCCCGCTGTGCCCCATGGGGACCAGGCCGTTCCCCGGAGGAGGCAGCCCTGTGGCTCGGGTGGCAAAAAGCACTGGAGACCTCCATCCTCCAACCCCCCTCCATCTGTGGGGTCCCACAGCACTGTGGGGTGGCAGCCCCCTGTGACCCCCACTCACGCCCCGCTCTCAATCTTGCAGGAGCGGACAGTGCTGAAGCCATGCTCCGGGGTGCTGTAGCAGTCGGCGGTGAACTCGTGCTTCTTGCCCTGGAAGAAAGCCTCATCCCATACCACAATCTGGGGAAGATGGAGGGAGTCAGGGGTGCAGAGGCCCCGAGCAGACACTGCAGCCCCATGCCCCGGCATTCACGGGGCTCAGGCTGCGTCGCCGGTCCTCCCCAGGCTCCCGTACCTTCCAGAGACCGGAGGATCTCCTGCAGCGGTGGGTCATGGTGGCTCTGCTGGGGCACAGAGGAATGGAACTGTTAAAGCCCACCCCAGGGCTGGTGCATCGCTGGCCCCTGTGAGCCTGGCCTCACCGCTGCAGCCTGGCCAGACCCAGACCCACCAGCCCAGCGCTGGGGGCTTGGCCCTTCCCTGGGACTGCCACGTCCTGGGACCAGGCTTCAGGGCATGCGTTGCATGGGCAATGCAGGCAGATGGAGGCAGGAGCCTGCAGCTACCTGCTCTGCTCTGCTCAGCGGGGCTTGCTCCAGCCTCTGCCCAGATGAAACTGCCCTCGGGACCTTGTGCAAGTCCCTTTGCTGGTGACGTGGGAGGCAGCGATGGGGTTGCTCCATGCTGGAGCAGGCGCAGAGCACGGGCCGGGGCTCTGCAGGCCCCGGTGTCTGGCAGGGCAGCCGTGGCCCTGGCAGCCGTGGCCCTGGCAGCCGTGGCCCTGGCAGCCGTCCTCGTGGCACGGCACAGCACCGCAGCGGGGTGAGCACGCTGCCAGCCCGTGCATGGGGCTGCCCATGGCTGCCCACGCCCAGGGAGACGACTTCTCCTGCAGGCAGATCCCTGCGCCAAAGCCCCCGTGCAGGCAACCCCGGCGCAGGCAGCCCTGTGCAGGTCCGCAGGCGTGCTCGCCACGCGCAGGCAGGGCCAGCGCCTGGGGCCGCAGACAGGGCAGCGCTGAGCCAGGAGCGCTGCGGAGGTGGCCGCATGCCCACGCTGAGAGCAGCACCCTGCCCCGCTGCCACGGCCAGCAATGTCCCCTGATCCCCCCGCCACCGTCCCCACCGTGACAAGGTGGGTGACGGCAGAGCGGTGCCACAGCCCGTCCCCAGCGGCTGCCCTCGTCTCGCGCCCCGGCTGCAGAACCCCGCAGCCCCCGGCCATGCCATGCCAGCGGCCTCGGATCCTCCTCCACGCGTCCCAGTGGCAGCGCCGCTCACAGGGCCAAGCCATGCAGGGCAGGAGCAGCTGCCACCAGACTCCCGTGCTTACCTGGGGTGAGGCGCTGGTGCCTGGGGAGGTGACATGTTCAGCAGCCCTCCGGCTGGGTTTTTATAGCCTCCAGATAGAGACAGAGCCCAGGAGAGCATTACTGAAACCCCTAACTCAGCACATGGCGGGGAGGAGGGACCGGGCAGAACAAAGGCGACGCTGCAGAGAAGCTGATGAGCCGGGACGCCGTGGCTCCCGCTCCCCTGGCCCACCGGGCACGGGCTCTGAGCCCCAGCCCCACAGCTCTGGAGCTGGGACATCACCCCCGGTGTCTGCCGGCACTTCTGCCATGTGCCCTGCCCCAGCATGGGCCTGGGCTGGGACCATGCCCCCCCAAGTTCTGGCAGCGCTCCTCCTGCCCCGTACCTCCGCTGGGGGTGTGGGGAGGTTTTCTCACCTGCATTTCTGGGAAGTAGGAGAAAAGATGCATCTCCATTTGTGGCAGTGCTTGCTCTCCCTGCTAGGGCAGAGCAGCTCTCCCTGAAAGCTGGGGCAGCTCTTTTGCAGGTTGAGCCCACAGCAACCATGGAGCATGATAACAAGTGGGGAGCGGGGGCACAGGAAAGCAAGGGGCAGGTGTGCAAAGGCACCAGATGGACTAAAGATGCAGATCAAGACTTAGGGAGTGCTGCAGCAGCCTCCTGCCTCTGTGCACAGGGACCTGGAAAGAGCCCGCTGCATCCACATTTTGGGTACCTAAACACCTTCAAGCTTTGCTCATGGTGACCCCCTCCCACTAAATCATCCTGGGGTCATGCTGGGATTGTGCAGGGCTCCGAGGGTTGGGCACCTTGGAGAGGCACCCACACAGTTTGCCTGTCAGAGGGTGGAGCAGTGGGGCAGCAGCAAAAGGAGGCTGTTGAGAGGGGTGGCAAAACCTGTGTTCCCAGGTAGTGCTGTGTTTCTGGACAGCATTTCCAGGAAACTGCCAGGTGGCTGAGCTGGAGCATCCTCCTTCATGCAGCTGCAGCCCTGGCAGCCCCAGGCACCACAGGCAAGGCAGAGCAGGTGAGCACTGCAGCCGGCGGGGGTTCGCACGCAGCCAGCTGCTCCTGGCCGCAGCAGGGCTGCGCTGGCTGTCCCCGACACCTGCAGCCCCCAGAAAATGTGCCTTTGGCACAAGCTGCCCTCAGCCTCTTGCTGCGGCCTGACCTAACCTCTGCTTGCTGCCAGCCACCAGCGCAGTGACCGCAGCTGGCTCGCTCTCTGCCACATGCTCTGGTGCTGGGACGTGGTCCTGTGGAGCCCGGGCTGTTGCTGGGTGCACTCACGGTGCCACTCAGCACTGGGTAGAGGATGCAGCAGCGGGAGCTCCGCATGCAGCAGGACTCACCAGGGCAGAACAAACCCCTTGTGTTGGGCATGCGCCCGTGTCTGTGCCTGCCGGGGCTGAGCTGGGTCAACTCTGGCCATCTGCACCGGCGGTGAGGCTTGGGCAACTCTTTCCTGTGTTTGAGCTGTGCATCCCATGTGCCCCTCCATGCCGGGGCAGGACGGTGCAGCGAGGGGCCGGTGTGGGATGGGATGGATGGTGCAGCGCAGGGCTTTCCAAAGAGCCTGCAGCCAGTGGCAGGGATGCTCAGTGGGGATGGCAGAGATTTTGTGTCCGGGGGCTGAGGGACCACCAAGGGCAGATCCCTGCTGTCAGCCCTTCCACAGCACCATCTCACCACATCTGGGCTGCCAAGTCCTCAGAGTAACAGCCAAAGCAGTGCAGAGCAGCTGTCAGGAGCCGAGCTTGGTCCTTCCAAGCACAGTTCTCCAACGCCCAAGTCCAAAGGTACTGGGAGCTGGGAGGGGAAGCGGAGCCAGGAGCAGTGCAGCAGAACCTTTGGGGTGGGTGAGACCTGCTGATTAATGTCCAGGAGCCACAGGCGAGACAGGGCGGTTAAAACCCCCCCCGGCTCCGAGAGGAAGAGAATGCAGCTTAAAATAGAAATCTGTCTAACAAACACGAAAATGAATGCAAATTGAAAGCCGTGAATCATAAAAAACTGCCCAGTGTCAAGGTGAGAGACCAGACTGCAGGGAGTGCCCAGGGGAAACGGAGCAGCAGCACCTGCATTTGGCCATGCCTGTGGGCATGGCAGAGCCTGCCATAAAACCACGGGAAAAGAAGAAGGGATCAATAAATGCTTTCTGTTTGGGATTTTGGGCAATAGCCCAGAGGGTGCAGCTGGATCCCACCACTGCTGGTTGACACTTCACACTTGAGAGGAACAAAAGGTGATGGCAAAACTGAGGGCTCTGAGCTTTCTGAACATGTGGCCTTGGGTGATTTACTGCTGCCAGTAATGAAGAGCCAGCCCAGAAGTGCTGGTGCTGGATGCTGGGGGTATCGGAAAGGAATGCAGGGAAACAAGCGTGCTGGTATTTACATGATGAACAGGATCACAGCAGGCAAACAGGGGGGCAGCTGATCGGAGGCTCGGTGAGAGTCAGGGGAAGATCCCCCCCAAGGTTCCTCCCGGTGCAGAGAGTAGCTGTGGGGTGCAGGAGATGTGGCACCGCAGGCTGAGCTGCCGCAGGGACCGGTGCCCAGCGTGTCCCTGGCCAGCCACCCCACGGTCCCCTCCACCTGCCGTCGGTGAGAGACAGCACTGATGCACCAAAACCCCGTGTGGGATTTGGTACCATGCAGTGTGGTGACGGCAAAACTAGGGCTGGTATAGAATGAGCACAGCAGAGGTTAAATGGGCTAAAAACTAGCTAACGTCCATGCCAGTGGATGCGGTGAGCAGGGACACCCTCAAAGGAGGACACCATTTTCAGGGATTGAGATGGTTTGGAAAGTATCAGCTTCGATTATACCTCATTTAGAAAAAAAACCCCAACCCTGAAGCATTTCAAAACACATAAGTCTTGCATCCTGGCATCTTCAAGGCAGCGCACTCAGGTGTTTCCCAGTATGGAGTGACATTTAAAGCAAGAGATTTAGTGTTTAGAGGGGAGAAATGAACACAGTGCAGCCATAGCGCTGGGCACCATGCAGCCACGGGGCACGGGGCTGGTGCATCCTCCCCGGCTGCAGCGCACTGGAGCTGGATGCCCCTGCAGGACCAGTGCCAGGGGCAGTGGGCAGGGGAGGGCAGCGTGCCGGTGCCGGCCAGGCCACGCGAGGGCTATATATGCCCTGTCGGGGCGGCCGCACGCGGGGCAGTGGGTGCCGCCGTGCGCTGCAAAGTGGCACGGTCAGGTCTTCTGTTGTGCCGCGGGCACAAAGGAAAGTGCTGGGTTCAGCAGCTGGGCACGGGGCCGGGGAGAGGCTTCCAGCTCGCCCAGCGCTTTGCAGGATGTGATGACTGGGCGGCCGTGCAGACACTGATGAGCTGGCAGTTCCTTTGTGCGCCCGCCCGGGGGTCTGCCCTTGCCAGGCTATAAAGTGGGGGCTTCGCTGCGCCCCGAAACACAAGCCCGCTCACTCCAACAAGAAGCAGCAGCTGCCCAGGTAAGAGGACAAAGTCCCCGGGCACCGGGCTGCAGCCGGACCCGAGGGGGGGAGAGGGAAATGCAGGGTCTCAGCCGTGACCACCGCTGTGGCCACCATGTCTGGGAGCACCCCGGTGCTCAGTATCCCGCTGCCCTCTGCTCCCCCGGCAGCCGCTGGTGACACTCACCCGTGGGGCCACGGGCAGGGTGCCCACCGGAGGGCTTCATGCAAACTGGGCTGTCCCCTTCCTACCCCCTCACACGCCGCCCCAGTGCCCAGCCTGGCTCTCAGGCACACCCCGTGCGGGATGGCCCCAGCACCCGGTGCAGCGTCAGACCCCGGCCCAAGCGGGGAGAGCATGGAGCAGCTGGGCACCAGTGTTTGGGACTGCTCTGGGCACCCCTGCAGAGGTGGGACCATGCTCAGGGCGCTCCTGATGACAGAAGGAGATTGTGGGCACCCGGGACCTCCTGTGGTCCTTCTAGTGAAGGCAGGACCCGGCTGCCTGTGCCTGCCTGGAGAACCTCCTGGCAGCTCCTCTCCTGGCCCCAGCCACCCACCCCATTGCTGAG